TGATATTATCTCTAACAAGAATCTTGGTAAAGTATATAGCGAGTCTTACTTCCATAAAAGGAGGCAGCATTGTCATACAGAGTAGGAGCACCAGATCATGAGTGTCTTCCATCAGATCCTCCACTGAATCTGAAATCACAAAAACTAGAAGGCTTCAGACTCTTACAAACATATTAAAGATGAACTAAAACTGTGACAGTATATCAGTTATAGCTAGGAAGGAGCATATTAAAGATGAACTAAAACTGTGACACAACAAGGAGCACTGACCTGTCAAATTTATAACCATGAAGAAGAGATTCAGCAAGAACAGTCTTAGTGGAAGTAGCCAAGCACCCAAACAAAGCAGCACAGAACCCAAACAATTAAAGCTAAGCTCTGTTACAGAGGTCAGAAGAATCCCTCCAACAATGGTGACAAGAGACGCCCAAACACACCAGTCAAAGTACTTCCTCCACACCAGCCACTGTAATACAACGGCTCAAAACACAAACAAGAAACAATCAGAGATTCTCTTTAAGCTACAACCTTTAGAACAATCACTATTAAAACTATTAAAGCTACAACCTTTAGAACTCACTCAAAACACAACAAGAAACAATCAGAGATTCTCTTGAAGCTACAACCTTTAGAACAATCACTATCGTCTAAGCACGAAAGTTCAAGGAAGAGAAGAGAGAACAAAACCTTCCAAGAACAGTAACGAGAGTGTTGAGGTAAGTATCAATCATCTGGTCCCTCGCTGGCGCAGGATCCTTGCGGAACTCCAGGAAGAATTATCATCTCCCTCCGCTCATTATTACGAGTAATCCGAATCCACAGTCGCACCCTTGACAATTGCCACCCGACGGCGAGAATCGGCGGTGGAGATGCTCCAGATCAGAGGATGATTCCATTTCCCGACAATGCGGATGCTGGAGGTTGTAGGGAAGCGTGTAATTTGGCTTACGGGAAGTAGGGTTTGGGGGATGAGCGAGGAAGNTCTCCCTCCGCTCATTATTACGAGTAATCCGAATCCACAGTCGCACCCTTGACAATTGCCACCCGACGGCGAGAATCGGCGGTGGAGATGCTCCAGATCAGAGGATGATTCCATTTCCCGACAATGCGGATGCTGGAGGTTGTAGGGAAGCGTGTAATTTGGCTTACGGGAAGTAGGGTTTGGGGGATGAGCGAGGAAGAAGAAGAAGATGTCGTGAAGGATGTCATTGCAGCTGGATTGATTTTCTTTTGGTGTGTATCAAGCAAGGTTAAAGATTAACTTAAAATATTTCTGATTAAAACTGGAGATATTTGACATTTACAATAGCGTTTAATTTTGGATCTATAATGGTAAACCGCCTACACTTAGTAAATTAACGCGGCTCAATTTTTTTATTTTCCCGCGATACTAAACATAGCGGTTTAAATTTATAAATGCTATTAAAAAAACTAGTATTGATATACAATAGCAGAAATGTCAAAAACGCTATAGTCTAATGCTATTAATACCTACATTTCCTGTAGTGTTTGTGTGGCTTGAATACGTAAGAAACCAGAAAACAAGAAACAAAATTACTAAAAAGCATAGAGAAATTTGGGGACGTATACATAACAGAATGAAAACAAAGTTTATAGGCATTACAACGCTAAGGCTACGATATCTTATACATTATGTGAAAATTAGACAAATATACCCTTCATTGTGTGCGTGAAAAGATGAAAGAGTTCGTTTATTCTTCTTCTTTGTAAACCAATTTTTTTTTGCCTTCTCAACCTTTTTTTTATGTGACGGAGAAGAGAACTTTGCTGAGAGCGATTGTGAGTCCGATTTGGAGAAGAGGAAGGGAAACACATCGCATAACGATTGTTGTAAGAAATATAAATTGGAAAATCAGAGTTAGGGTTCTGGAAGTCCTTCAACATTCATGACGAAGAGATTGCAGAGCAAAAGACAAATAATCAAGGTATGTCCAATTTGATTGAGTAACATAAGGGACCGTGTCGTTAGTTTCAAGACCAGCCAACCATGTATTTACAGACATTAAATTAGAAACACCGTTTCTTTTACAGATCTGATCGAAGTAGTTAACGGCGGTGCGACAAAAAGGTAATCTCCCACAATTGTTTTTGCTTTAGACTTCATTTAGGTCTTTTCTGTATGGTTTGTGCATACGAACAACGTAAATAAACTTATTTTTGCAGGTTTAGATATTTTTTCATATCAGTTATCCATCGCTTCAATCAGTTAGTCTCGTATTTAATGATTTTTTAAATATGGCTATATTTAAAATTCAAAATTGAATTATCGGATCACCGGTTTAACCGCGGTTCAGGTTGAATTTAAAAATATGAATTTAAATGCAAAAATATTTTAAATACATAAATTCTTTCAAATTACCAAAATATTTGTTAAGCTATTTATGAAAATTTTCATCATAAAATACTTCGTGATTAAAAATTTAAAACCAAAGTTAAGTTTGAATTTGATATAACCTATAAAATAAAGGTTAAGGCCAAAACATCTAGAAACTTGTATATTATTTTAAAAGTTTTGGATAATTATTAACATCAGATGAAACTAAACTATTGTTGGTGATGGAATACTTCCAGCTACAAAGGCCTACTGAATAATGGGCCCGGTCCACGCAAGCTCCGACCCGACGAGCTAATCGACGAATAATCGAGCTTAATTCGGATAATTCCCGCAATAAGCCGAATTAAAGGCACTTGAACAAAGTGCTCGCTCTCGCGGGCCATTTGAGGCCCATTTAGTTAAAGGCCTCCGAACCCACAACCTGTTCACTAGGTCAAGGCGCGACCACTATAAAAGGGAGAGAAGAGGCAACAAGGAAACGATCCGAAATCACTCTCACTCACAAGGCGGCCAGAACTAGGGTTTTCACTCTTGTACTCTCTTTCCGACTTGTACGGCACGGCCGAGCTCCCCGCGAGACTCCGTCTCGCCTCTCATTTCCTCATTTGTAACCGAACCCTCTCATCAATAAAACTACATTTTTGACTAAATATTAAGAAAACGCCTTTGAAATAACCCACAGACAAGTCCTGTCACTCATTCACTGAATAGACCGAACTCGGTTAAAACAGTTGGTGCCCACCGTGGGGCATAACAAAGTAGCGTCAACACAAGTTATGAGTCCAAGTAACGCTTCAACCTCCAGCGGAAGATGCCGCAGCACCGACCTCAAGCACCGCCATACCGCTCGCTCCTACCTTCATCGACTCCGTCATGGAGCGCCTTACTCGTCAAGACGAAGCCCAGAAGACAACGAACGAACACCTCGCGGCCATAGCCGCCATTCTCGCAAACCCAAACAGTGCCGGAGGACACCTTTCCACGGCTTGGCGGTTTCTCTTCAACACTAACCCTACACCTACTCCAGAGAACCAGCCTATAATGCCGGCCGGACCCCAGGATGACTCTGTGCAGTCGGGAAACAGCCCAGATCTGCAAACTATCCAGGAAATCGCTGCCCTTAAGCAAGCTCTCCTCGATATAAACTCAAAGATTCACAGCATCACGACTTCTGCCCCGCTCATCGAAAGCGTCCTCGCAGACACCTTCTGAACTCCGTTTACTCAAAAGATAACCGGCGTAAGACTCCGCAAGATGAACAAGATCCGCTTGCCGACATACGACAGCCTCTCGGACCCAACGGCCCATATAACGTCCTTCAACATCGCGATGCGGCGACACAACTTCTTCGACGAAGAACGAGATGCCGGCTACTGCCAACTCTTCGTGGAAAGCCTAACCGGCGTGGCCTTTACTTGGTTTACAGGCCTCCCGGAAAACTCCGTTGATAAATTTCGCGACTTACCGTCCGTGTTTTTGAAGAACTACATAATGTTCACACGCGAGGAAGCTACCGCGTCCGATCTCTGGAACCTTTCCCAGGAACTGGGGCAAAGCCTTCGTAGCTTCATGGAAAAATTCAAAGGGATTGTGTCCAAGGTCTAAGTCCCAGATAGCATCGCTGTCAACGCCCTCATGAACACACTGTACGTACACTTCAAGTTGCGAGACGACCTCTATCGTCACCCAACCAAATCTCTTTCTAATGCCATTGCTCTGTCCAACAACTTCATCCGTATGGAATAAGACACCAAGGCAATCATCAGTAAGCAGAACGCTACGAAGCAAGCGTCATCGAAGAGTAACGATACCCGTCCGGAGCCGCGTCAGCACGCCCCAACCGACAAAGCGAACTGATATCACTCAAATGTTTAACCCTAAGGAGTGAATTACTCTCTCAAATAAGAGGTTCAATCGTAGTACTTAGGGATCGAATCCTCAGAGAGCAGAAACACACAATAGACTATAGAAATCAAAGTTAAGCTAGGTGAATAATTTATAAAACAGTAAATAAAAGCAATGTGAACAAAGTAGTTGTTTGATTGGTTGAGTTTGTAAGCAATAAAGAGAAATAGCTAGTTTTAGGGATTTATCAATCAAGAGATTCAAAACAACAATTCAAGATGCTAACAACTTATAGATTCCTTCTAGAACTCGATTTTAATAAGTAAGTAATCCATCTATCAATGCAATTACTAATAAGATGTCTAAGTCCTTGTTCCACCTTTTGCATGCGAACAAGAAGTGAGTATCGATCGATGCTATGGCCTGAGCGTCGATCGATATTACCTCAGAAAAGCATTAACGACCTTATCGATTATGTTCAACTAGATTCCTAGACCAAATTCTCATATGCGCCTAAGTATCTAATCCAGCAGGATTCGGGTTCCGTTAATTGACTGCACTTTTGTGTATCTCAATTGTCCTATGATTCTAGGTTCAAGCAATCAGTCACACTATCGTGGTATCCTAATTACTCGATACCATAGTATTACAAATCACCCTGATGTAGAGATCTATAGATATTCTAGCAATCCTAATTGATATTCAGTTGACATTAAGCTCATGAAATCTATAAACCTAACAAGATGAACTACTCAGACATGATAGAAGAAACACAAATCATAGTCTGAATAATAATAGAATAAGAAAATAAAGATAATTCCAATGGAGTTCCAAGAGGACTCTGAAGGAGTTCCCCTCTTCTCTTCTCACTAAGAACAATCAAAACAAAGATGAAAAGAAAGCGTAGATAGCATAGATAGCGTAGCCGTCAACAATGGCTTGCAAAATAACATAAATAGGGTTTCTGGTCGTCCAAGGGCATTCTGGTAATTTAGGTTTCTTCTGGGCTTCAGTTGGTCATGAAATATACTCGGCCCGCATTCTGGCATCCATATCGAGCGATATGAAGTGTTTCTCATCGATCAACATGCACATATCTTCTCGACAGCTTTCTCTCGCGAGGCAGACTGACCACTCTTCAGTAAAATGAGCATAACTTCTGATCTAACCGTTGGATTGACCCCAAACCGGTGGCATTGGAAAGATAACTCAATGATCTATCTTTTTCAAAATATCAGCTAAATCGCACCATGGGAAAGTCTCCATCCATATCTAAACATCTGACACTGTCTGCGCAATTCTGCACGAAAAGGCTCCAAAAGACACCAAAATCACCATATTTCTCCAGAACGTACGTGAACCTGTAAATACTCTAAATAGACTCTATATTGTAGTAAATATACATAAAAACGTATCAGTACCATGACTAAAAAGGGCCAAAATCATGGTATATCACGAACCCCAAGAAATGCTTTGTCCACATGGTGGACGAAGATAACCTCCCGGGCTCGACGGTCGTAGTCCGAGCAAAGGGATGGAACCACTGGGACATGACGGACGACGAGCCAAAGTCGGAAGGCGTATCCGAAGCCTCGGGATCGAAACCCGACGAGCCGGAGAAGTAGTGTTCTTACCGCAAGTGTAAGAAACACAACACTAAGGAATGCAAGGTCCTGTACGAGCATTTCCTCTCCT